GACCCAGTTTAATAAGACTAGACATGTTTTGCAAACAAATTAGTCTTATTATGATTGTTTTTGGTAGAAATTGGGGTAATCGCAGAGATGAAAAATATTTTCAGTAAAACCTACAACACACCCTAATGGATACCAGATTCTAAACCTGTTCATTGTCTTTGAGGCACTGTTATCCATTTGTAAAATGGAGTGGATACTAAATTATTCTATTTTTCTCTAATATCTGTCTACAACTTTCCAAATTAATGATCCCAACTTTCTTCCACCCCTCTGATTTGGAATTACTAAGAATAAAAACTGCCCTTTTCCCAAAGTCCTCCAAACTGAACTGGATAACTTGATATAAACTTCATAGAAATCAACACAATGGCTCATTTACAGAAAACCATTGTGTCTGATGCTGTGTGGACCACTCAGAACAGTCACTTGAACACCCAATAACATCACCAGAGACAATTAAATTACACAAGGGACGCTTTGAACCCACATCTAGAAGCCTAATGTCTGGAAGTCTTCTCAATTGGCTGCTCTCTGGACTCAGGACCTGATGTATAGTCTGCCCCAATCATTAACTGTTTCCTTGTTTTCACTGAAATATCTCTTATTAAATATCTGATTGCTCACATGGTATAGGTCTAATTTTGGGATCCTACCTGCAACACTGCCTCTTGAAATGAGACATCACTGTTTAACTGAGTTGACCTATTCTCAAGATGAAGGGATGGATTCAATGAGATGAAACAAGCTACCAACTCAACTTCTAGACTGAAAATTCTTGGGGAAATTTCAAAGGAGGTAGATAATAGGTAGTAAATTATGCTACCCCGAAGTATGCCTCTTTGTTTCAAGGATTATTTCAAGCTGATAAGGTGGTTTTAGAAAATAGAATTTGTTTAGATTCCTTATTGGCTATCAAGGAGGAGTCTCTGCCATAGCAATTACTTCTGCTGTACCTGGTCCAACACCCCTGGTTTGTAGACATTGAAATATGAGAAATTAACAAACAAGCCACTTAGCTAAACGGGTTGATGCCTCTTGTGATATATTCTTTGATTTATCTGATGCCAACTGGTTTGGTTCATGTGTACCCTGGCTAAGGAACATTCTTTAGTCTCTTGCTGGCTAAGGAATATTCTTTAGTCTCTTGCTATTATCCTCCTGATAGTCAGCATGGTAGTCTCCATGGTGTGCTGTATTCTCTCAAAGGTCTTAAATATGTGTCCACAACCATCATCAATACATCAGATGGTCTCATTGCACTTGGAGAAATAGAAAAAAATGAACAGATGAATAGCAAAAACAAACAATTCTTCCGATGTTCCTGACATCATTACCTACAAGTTTCATGAAAGACAAGAACAACTTAACCCTACTGGTAACTAAAAGTGGCACTAATACTAAATTGTTGGTCAGTCTCTCCTGTATGAGAGGATGACCAAAAGGGAGTAATTATTAAAGTATTAACACGAAAAGCCATTGGACTGAGGTAGCTCTGATACCTTGAAAGCCTACACAGGCACACCAATCACAAGCAACAAAATAGGCTTTTCCAAATAAGGCCAGTAACTACTTAAACTACAATCATTCAAATAATTTCTTTGATATTCTTTCATATATTCTCTATATAAACCTTGACACTGGATCCTGTCAGTGCTCCTAATAACTGAGGTTTGGTGTTTCCTGATTCCAATTCATATATGCTCAAATCCTTAAAAATTACAAAGTGTTTCAGTTTACCTTTTAATACTAGGAAAGACAGTGGTGAGCTCCTCTCCAATCCCCAATGCACCCACAGTGGCAATGCCGAGTCCCAATGTCCCCAGAATGAATGGATCTTGAAGCTCTACTTCTCTTCTCTACACTAGCCCCTCTTTCTGCATCCATACCACACATGTGGGAGCTGCCTAGCAGTCTGTCTGCCCATTCTCCTTTCACAGGGCACATCTGCCTTAGGTTCCTACATATTTTCCCCTAGTCTCTCAGGCCTTCTGGGAACTTCTAAGACATTCTCTTTTTCACTGCAGCTGCTGCTTCCATCCTTCCTCCTTCTTACCCATCCTTCTCAAGGAATCCAGTGCCTCTAATAAAAGCATAGATCTGATCCATCTCTCCTCTGTTAAAAGCTTTTCTTCTATTGATCCCCAGTTGCCCTTAAGGTGAAGAACACACCTCCTACATGGGCCCAAGGCCTCCTCATTAGCCTGTCCTCTTCCTTCTTCCACTCTTTTTCCTTCTTCCTCCTTATACTTGGATCCTCTGGGATCACCTGAGGGCCTCAGTGCTCAGGTCTTTGCATAGACCAGTCCCTCTGCCTGGAGCTCCCTGGCTTTCATATGCCACTGGCCAATAAGGCAGGCACATGGGAACACTCACTCATTTTCATCCTGTTCAATCTAATGAATGGCCAAATTAATAAGGAACCTAATGAATAAGCTGAAAGCAAACCACTCAAGACCTTCCTGCAGGTGAGAAATTCCGTTTGTCTTCAAGGACAATCACAGGTATTCCAAGAAAGCTACCCAGCCTTGAAGTCTTTGAAATGAGCTTTGGAATAAGACACTTCAGAGTATCAATTCTGGGTCCATGTCTTCCTATCTGAGAAATCTGAATGAGGCAATGCCAAACCTCAAGGGCCTCATTCCTTCCCCTGAGCAGCTTCCTTCCCTCATCTATAAAATAGGGATAATAACATTTACCTACAGTTGTGAGGAAGATGCAGTGATGAAGCTGTTTTCCTACCTTACTCTTGCCCCCAGTCTGGGGTCACACATTGCCTCCCCCATCCAATCTGTCTGGATTCCTGTGACCTCTAGTTTCAAATAAGATGCAGAGCTTGGCCACTCATTATTACCATGCCTACCCTATTGTTCTATGCCACTATCATGTCGTCTGTGGACCTCTGTGCCAGCCCCTCACTGGTCTCTGCCTTTGTGCTCAACTGTGATTCGCTTAAAACTAGTTCCAATCATACACCTCTTCTGGTCAAAAACACTGCCCCTGCCTGAACTCCTCACAATCCTGTCTGTCAGCCCTGACTTTCCTGACCACCTCTTTAGAATGGTACCTTTTCATACCCTTACTTTACACCCTCTTTGGGAGAGAGGGGAGGAGACCAACCCCTATTATCTAATCTTTTGCAGCAAACTAGCTTAATTGACACTGAGAAAACACTGGACTCTCCAGACTCCGTTGCATCACCCTAAAATAGGAAAATAGATCCTGTTCCTCTAAGCAGGAGGAGACCAAAGTGGTCAACACATTGCCTGGCACACAATAAGTGCTCAATTAATGTTTTTCTCACATGTCCTACTTGTGCAAAGAGCCCTTCTTATCCATTGCAGGGTTGAACCGTACCCACATCGGGCCTAATGGCAGAAATATGCATTGGCAGGAGCACTGTAACAGCATGGCACCTGAGGGGGCCCTTTGGACTCATTACCATCCTCTGCAAAGACTGACCCACAGAGGTTTTCATTCCTTTACAATGCCCATCCGTCTCCCAAGCCCAATGCCCAAGAGAGAAATCACCATCCCTCTGGGCTGTGCCAAGTATCAATGAGGCATAACCTGCTGAGGACAACTCAGAAGTCCCTCCACAGGACAGTGAAGAGGGACTTATTCAGTGAGCATAGTGGCTCCCAGCTCTGCCGGCTTTCCTTAAATGCTAGTGGGCTGGGTACACAACTCCCCAATCATCAGCCTCCATGGAGAATAGAAGGAATCAGAGGCAGTACAGCCTGGGATGCTGCCATCAGGGCACAAACGAAGCCTGAGTCTTGCCAGTCTCACCAGTCTCAGTGCTACTTCATCAAACTCTAGGTTCCGTCCTCTTTCCAGGAGATTGCAAATGCAAATACGTCCGTACGCTACATGCTGGGGTGCTCCCCACCCCCTGACCCCACGATGATTATGAGGATGACAAAAGTACAGTAAATGGGCTCTGGAAACCAAAAAGTGCTATATTGACACTATATTGACAGTCATGCTACTGCTACCACTGAATCAGTAAAGTTTATTCTCAACCCACCAGAGGAGTTGAAAAGGGAACCAAGGCAACCTCTCCAGTCTCTCCAAGCACGAAGATCCACCCCCTTTCCATCAAAGACCATAAGATGCACATCCCAGTTTCCTAAAACAAAGCTTGATCAGACCAAACTGTTGTGAATGTGCACACAAACTGTAACATGGTCTCCAAGTGGCTGAAGAAAAACCAAAACACTTAGCAGCAGGAGAGCAAAGAACTTTCTAATCGGTGACACTATGACAATGCCTAACAAAAGCAACATGGGAATCTCTGTGGCCCTGTAAAAACAGAAATCATTTGGGTAAAAAGCAAAACAAACAACAACCAAAAACCATAGAGAGCTTCTAACAACTGCTGAGAAGGAACTCCTAGTAATCACCTGCCTCTCCAGCTATATAAGGGGCATGCAGGCCACAGATCCAGGCCGTGCTGGTGGGGGGACTGAGAGCCATCCAGCAACTCTATGGTGGCACTTTTTCCTCTCCAAAAGGAGAAGTCCCAGGGAACAAATTTTGGGCGCATTCCCTCAGCCTCAGGAACAAGGGGATTGCAGAGGGTCTTATCTTGGGTCTGATCAAGACTGTTCCCACCTCCCCTTTCTCAGAAGCTGGGGTCTACTTGAACTGCTTCATGCTAGCAGTAACCCTGAGGTCAGAGGTGCCCTGAAGAACACCCAGGGTGGGAGGGCTGCTCACGTGTCGACGATCAAGTAGAGATCAAAGGCACCCTCGCAGGTTTTTGGCTTCTCTATCTTGCTCCTGTAGTGCCTGGTGCCCTGGTGGAAGGGTGTCCAGGCTGGGAGGCGGTGCAGGAAGCTCCCTGTGCTCAGCAATGGAGGTGGCAGCAGCAGGAAAAGGAGCAGGAGCAGGGAGAGTGCAGGGCCTGGCACCCAGAGGCTGCTGCTCCCCATTTTCTTAGTTGTCCCTGAGGCCCCACTCTCTCCTGGAGCAGGGGGATCAGCGCTGGCCATGCCCAGCCACCACAGGCTTCTGCCTCATCTGCTGTCTCCCCTTCAACCCTGTGTCCTGGAGCCTTGTTCTCTCAAGCTCTTTCTCCAAGGTGCTCTTAGAGCCTCCACCTGGTACCTGCCCTTTGGGCGGAAGAGGCAAACAGCTGGATCTGGGGCAGTAGTCCCACTACCTGAGTGGCCCTTCCCTGCCCCACAGAGACAGAATTCCCTGTGATGCCCCTTATGATGGACAGGAAGGTTGGCATGGTGACTTTGTGACCTGCAGCTCTGCTCAGTGTCCTGCCTGTTGACAACCCCAGGCAGGAGTCATGGGATCTTTGGATGGGGGATAAGATGAGGCCTCCATTTGTCTCTTACCCTAAACCCTCATAGGTGGCCATTAAAATCTCCAAGACTCTGACTTTTTGTAACTCAAAGAAGGCAGCTGAGGTGGTTTAGATAAGGACATCCCTGTGGGTGTCCAGGAGGTCGATGAACTGGAAGACTAGAGTACAGTAATTAATGGTCATTGGTGTGAACACTGAAGTCACCCATGGACATGGAAGGATCTAGAAGGCCTAGAAGGTTTGTGTAAACATTCAAAGTTCTTTGTGAATAAGGGACATTCTGGTTATCTACTGCTGTGTAACAAACCACCCAAACGTAGTGACATACAAGAGAACCATTTTATATGCGCACAGGTTCTGTGGATCAGAAATGCAGAGAAGGCTGAATGGGGATGGCTTGTCTGTGCCCCATGGAAAAGCATAGGCACTGACAACTCTTGAGTCAAAAGTGATTGCAAAGAGTCAGTATGAGATGCAAAAAGTATTTAGAAATTCCTTAACTGATTTATTTTGTTTTATTCATTTTTTGCATGTACAAAACAAGTGTGATATGCACTAAAAATCCTTCTAAGTTTAAAATAGAGCTTTCAGTATGAATTTACAAAAAAGTATAAGTGATAAAAAGCTTTGTGTTGGCAGTTTTATTTTGTTTTTTATTTTGTTTTTTTTGGGGGGGAGTGGTATTTAAAGCCATGGAATATCTTAAATGATATTTGGAATTGATAGGATTGGTATGCATGTCATTAGCATATTAGCTTTTCCTTGTTTGACACTTGCTATTGTCATATTTTTGCATACTCATCTATTGATTAGATATCTCATGGTGGGCTTAATTTGCATTTCCATAATTTCTGATGGTTTTCTGTTCAAGAGATTTGGGTTCATTCATTTTTCTGTTTGTGAAGTGCTTGTTCCTACCTGTATCCATTCTCTGATTCAGGTGTTTATGCTTTTCATATTGATTCTTTGGCATTCCTTATACATTTTGGATTCTAATCCTTTATCAGTTGTTGCAAATATTTTCTTTTAGCATGTGGCTTATTTTATACTTTAAAGATTTGCAGGATTTTGTATCTGACTTAAGTAATTCTCCCCTGTTAAGGTCAGGGTGAGACACACTTTATCCTAAAAATTTTAAAGATTTTAGGGGCGCCTGTGTAGCTCAGTTGGTTGGATGTCCAACTTCAGCTCGGGTCATGATCATTCAGTCAGTGAGTTCAAGCCCCATATCGGGCTCTGTGCTGACAGCTCAGAGCCTTGAGCCTGCTTCGGATTCTGTGTCTCCTTCTCTCTCTGCGCCTCCCCTGTTCAGGCTGTGTCTCTCTGTCTCTCACAAAATGAATAAACGTTAAAAAGAAAAAATTTAAATTAAAAAAAGTTTTAAAGATTTTATTTCACATTGAAGCCTTTGATCAAACTGTAATTAATTAATAAGTGCAATTTGTGCTAGGGATCTTACTCCATGTTTTCCCAAATATATGTCTCAGCACCATCCTTTTCTATTTGTTGACTATTCTATGTTTTTTTCAATGATTTGCACGTCACCTCTGATGTGTTTCAGATCCCATATAGGTGTGGATGTGGTTCTGTGCTTTCTGTCCTATTCCTTTTATCCATCTGTTGGTTTGTATTTATAGTGTCAATACCACACTATCTTATTATAGTATGGATGATTGTGTTATTTTTCCTTTCTGTCCCTTACTCCTGTAAGGAAGGATTGTGCTTCCCTGCCACATTCATAGCAGGCTTGGACTTGATTCCACCAATGAAATGTTAACATAAGTACATGTGCCACTTCCGGATAGAACCCTTAAGAATGTAGGTATGATTCAGGTGAGCACCTGTGTTGTGCAATGCCCTCTTAGAAACCTGAGGTGGATATGTATATGCAGGAGGGTATGGAATATAAGTGGAAAATAAAGTTTGTGCTTTTAAGCTAATCATATGTGGGGGGCTGTTACAAGAAGATAACCCAGCTGAATCTGATACACACAGGGCATCAGTTATTTTATCTAACATACAGAGCTCCACAGCAAGCCTTTGCAGGGCAGGGTAAATCATCCGCCTTATTTTTCTTATGGCCACTTGTTCTTTCAGGTAAATTTTAGATTCAGCTCACCAATTCTCCACTCCTCCCAAATGCTCTTAATATTTTATTATAATAACATTAAATATATAGATACATTTGAAAGGATTTGAATCTGCTATCTAGCCTCCCCTATTGGTAAACATGATAATGTCTCTATTTATTTGGTCGTATTCAACGCCTTTCATATAAACTTCCCTATAAAGATCTTAAACCATTTTGCCAAGTGCCTTTCCCTACAGTGTGTATACATATACATATGTACTTATATATATATACATACATACATATACATACATACACATACATTTACATAGATATATAAACATATATAGCAGCTCTTGTAAATAGCATTTTTAAAAACAAAGTTTTCAAACTGTTTATTGGTGTTGTGGACAAATGTATTAATTTACTGATTATTCACCTAACTTGCTAAGCTCCCTTATTCTAAAATATATCTGTGGAGTTGTTTTGGTTTCTATAAAAAATAAAAACCAAAAAACACTGTACTGACTAGTTCTCTAATGACATGTTGACTGGAAGCTGTGATGGAGGCATTCTTGACTTTAAAAATACCTCTAATACGTCACCATTAAGAATGATATTTACGAAAGGCTTTTGGTGGACATCTATCAGATTAGGGAGTCTCCCTACTCTTCTTGGTTTGCTACAAATCATGAACGAGTGTTAAATTTTATCTAAATTCTCTTTCTGCATACTTTGTGATGAATATAATTTTTCTCCAGTAAGTTATTAATATGATTAACTACATTAATGCATATAAAACCAATTTTAATATTTTATAAATAAACCTGACTAGGCCATGATAATTTTTGTAAATACTGCTGGATTGAGTTTACTATTAGTTTAGAATTTTTTTTATCTATGAACATGAGTAAGGCTGATCTGTAATTTCTTCTTTTTGTGCTGTTCTTAACTGGTTTTATGTTAGGTAATAATAGCCTCAGAAAATGTGCTTGGGGTGTTTTTACTTTCTTTCCTTTTGAAAGTAGTTTCAACATGATCCCAACAATCTACTCCACGTATACTTGGTATAATATCATCTCTGCCTAGTGTTTTCTTTGTGAGAATTTTTAAAAAAATTTTTTTTCAACGTTTTTTATTTATTTTTGGGACAGAGAGAGACAGAGCATGAACGGGGGAGGGGCAGAGAGAGAGGGAGACACAGAATCGGAAACAGGCTCCAGGCTCCGAGCCATCAGCCCAGAGCCTGACGTGGGGCTCAAACTCACGGACCGCGAGATCGTGACCTGGCTGAAGTAGGACGCTTAACTGACTGCGCCACCCAGGCGCCCCATTTTTTTTTTTTAATTTTTTTTTCAACGTTTTTTATTTATTTTTGGGACAGAGAGAGACAGAGCATGAACGGGGGAGGGGTGTGAGAATTTTTTAAAACTACTGATATCATTTGTTTAATGTTTACTGAACATTATGGACTGAGATGTGCCCCCCCCCATCTCAATTAATATTATGAAGTTCTAACACATCGTGTGACTGTATTTGGAGACAGGCCCTATAAGGAGATGATTCAAGTTAAATGAAGTCATAAGAATGTGGCCCTCATCCTAAAGGAACTTTTTTGTGGTACTTTGTTATGGCAGTCTGAGCAGACTAACACACTGGATTATTTTGTGCTTGTATTTCTTTTATCAGTCATTTAGGTACCACATTTTTCTAGGAATTTGGATATTTATTTCCGCATATTGTTATGAAGTTGTTAAGAATATGTTTGAGTCTTAACTTTCTGCTCGATTTGTGGTTATAGCTTTTTAATTCCTAATATGACTTGTGTCTTTTCTCATTCTATGCATTCACAACAGGGAGAATATTGCCCCAAGGGAGTGAAAATTAGTCTCACAGTTTTTAATTATAAAGCACAGCACATAAAGAGATATACAATAAATCCTTGGTACTAAAATTTCATGAGCCTATATAAGGAAAAATGTGTGTGTAAAAGCCCCGGGGGGGGGGGGTTATAATTTAAAAAAAAAAATTGGGAAGCACTGTCTTGTTTTACAATCAATTTCATTAGAATATTATTTATATTAACAATTTTTCAAATAACCTTTGGCTTTGTTTTACTATTTTACTATTTTCTGTATTTTTTTTCTCTAATATATTCTCCCTTTCATTTTCTTTGGGTTTAATTTTACTACTCTTTTTCAACTACTTTAGGTCAGTTATTAACTCCTTTATTCTCACCATTTCCTCCCCCATAACATAACCATTTGGGGGCACAAATTTTCCTCTAAGCTTCTCCTTCACTAAGGCTATATAAATGCTCACATTAGGGATTTCCATATTCACCAAAATAAAAGTTTTGCTTTGTGGACCACCCCGCAAAGTTTTAATGTTTATTCTGAATCAGCTTTCCCCACCTCAGATTTAGCATCATTTCATTCCTTTACAATCTTATTTGTGTAATAGGGACTCCAAAACCTGGGGAAAAGCACAGAGCCTGTCACCTTATGTCCCTGCACCTTCTGCCTCCCCAAGGGCGTCCAGAACATTTACAGAGTGACTGAAGGAAGGAAGGCGCAGGGACTCAGGACTGGTTTCCCTTTCAGTCCCTCAATGTCCCTTCCTTGGTCTCATCTGCTCTGCACTCCAGTCTCTGTGCTCATGCCCTGTGACCCGCACATCTGGCTGCCACTGCAACAATTCTGGTTACCTGAGACACTTCTCCCATCTCTTCTCTCCTGTCACCACGAGGTCATTCAAGCCCTGCCAAGACCGTCGCCCACTCAGAAGCCATTCCCTCCCGTCCCCCAGCCCTTCTTTGGGGCCGGGTCCATCCCACCCTCCGTGGGTGGTTCGGTTCCCTGCCACCTTCGCTTCCTGGGAGGTCGCAGAACTCACCCTGACCTGGCGCGGTGCGGCCATCTCACAGCTGAGGAGGCGGCGAGGCGGAGGCACGGCTCCGCTGAAGTTTGGGAGATTCTCGGGGGCGCTGCGAAGATGCAGTTTGCCCGGCCGCTCAGCGGGCAGGGGAACGACTGCCCGGACGCCCGGGGGACCCGCCGCGGCGGGGCGCAGACCGCGCGCACGGACGTCCCGGCCGTAGCCTGGGGACCCGCCGACCCCAGCGAAAAGTAGCCGCGTCCAGGGCGAGTGAGCAGAGGCAGGGGCGG